GGGGAAACCGAAGTACTCGGAGAAAACCTGCCCCAGCGCCAATTTGTCCACCCCAAATCCCACTTGACAAGACCCGGGATCGAACTCGGGCCGCCGCGGTGGGAAGCCAGCGACTAACCGCTTGAGCTATGGCGCGGCCTAATTTGTGAGTTAGTCCCATTCTTGGTATATGAAAGCGGCTAATGGCAAGTCTTGGTTTCAGTTGCGAGACAAAGCCAACACAAGTTAGCAGGAGGAGGAGGAGAGCAGGGGACGCGGTGAAATCTCTTTAGAAATTCTAAATTTTGACTTCAGCAGAAGTCGTGATTTTTATCGGGGCGTATTTTTTTTTTCTTTTTCTTCCTCACACTATTCATACATTTAATTGCCCCAAGGGTAGCACGTGGTTGAGCTCCCCCTAGGACCATAAGCGCTTCATTCGTCTCCTAACTGGAGAATGCAGATTTTAGTAACATCACAGTCTGCTCCACAGAAATTCATAAATTATAAATTTATAAATGAATGGGGACGCTTCTTTTAGGAGATTCCGGCTAAAATATCTCTGTAATATCTACTCGTCGAAGACAGAGACGCCCTGGTGTCGCTCTGCCTAAATTCTAGATCATAATCTTCAGTAATGTGGCGTATTTGCTCAAAGCAAGAACTGCGACGCCAGAGAAACAACCGTTGTTAACGAACGGCTCTAAAACAATATCCATTTCTAGTCAACGTCCGCGCAACAGACAGCGGAACGACGTCCGTTGCTAGGCATAAGATTCTTAATAACAGACGGCCTCACCTATCATCCGGGGCTGGTACAATAGGCCAGAAGTTGCCGCAGTACAAGGGACTCAGTCCCACCCCACTAGCAATACAAAAAACCTTCGGTTATAATTTTACGAAAGAGAACTCCTGTGTGTTGAGCGACATTTCCGGTATGGCGATTTTCGTTCCCATGGCATTGACGACGTAAGCATGTACGTCACTGACTATGACGCACCATTACCAATACACATGGGATCTGAAATCCAGTTAAGCTGTGTTACTTAACATGTCGCTTTTGGTTACGTAATCAAGAACTGACACATTGGCACACGGGCGTGACGAAAACGCCTTGTTTGCTAATGGTGTCACTGAAACATCTATATGCATGAAATACACCTTAATCGAGCAGACATAGCAGGAAACTGGACACTGCTCTTGACTGCGCATTAAGTAAGTGCAGTTAAACCTAGTGATTCTGTCGAAATCAGTAAATTTTATTCAGATATCGTGCAACACGTAATGAAGTCACGCCATGACATATACGTCCCCTCGGGGTTCATACGTATGTGGGTACTTGGTAAGAAACAGCTGTATCTCGGAAACCGTTCGGAAGAGGACACATGTACATACTCACTTTTTTTGCTTAGAATGACTGATACTGTGACCTCCAAGAATACTGACCTTTCCTCCTGCGGGCACTCCATATAGCGTCGAATGATCGGATGATTAAGGAATCATGAACTGGAAAGGATTTGGAAGGAAGTGTGTGTGGCCTAATATGAGGGGGCCTCCATAGACAGAAAACCCAGACAGGACAGCAGACGTCCAGGCCGAAATACGAAACTGTGTATAGTACACGGCCTTCCATTTGTCACGCTGCACAGGTTATCCTGTGCTAAGCTGAGTTTGTAGGGGAAAGTTCGACGGGCTTACGGAGGCGCGGTGGCGTCATATATGCATTTTATGGACAGGCACCTATAAATCTTGTTCAGAGAGGTCCTGAGCCCGGAAGCAGCCACTGTTAAAACCTTTACCAGGCAACTACTAGTGAAGACAGTGCAAACTGAAAAAGACTTAGCGTGTGCTCTAGCGATTTGTTAAGTGTGTGGAAATTAACGATGGCGCTATAATTAAATGTATCTACGAGCTGTGTGTTAAAGTGGTCAATAAATCCAAAATCCAATCCAAAACCCCGTCGAGAGTCACTCATACACGTGACAATATTAAAACAATAGGAAAATGACTTGAAGGTGTGGACTTAACTGGTCCATCAATGTCTGACTTTGTGAATGCGGTGGTGCGTTTTCTCCTTCCATTTTGTTCTTGGCTTGCTCCGTTTATGTGGTTGCAGCCTTCAGTTCCCACTCTAAACTGTTATCCCGCACCAAGCGGGAAACCAGCGAGAATAAGTTTGTCATCTGCTTCCCGCCTGTTTCTTGCTTGCTTATTCTTTGACCCTGAAGATGGAGGCGACATGTTTTTTTCGTATTTATTTATTCACTTTTCAATTTCACTTGACAAAAGACACCGTGGTCTCGAACCCGGTACCTTTCCAATACTATGCCAATGTCTTAGCCAAGTACCACCAGATCTATACAAATTTGTTACCTTCACCTTCCTCATATAGTACGACTTGCTTCCTACACGCACAAATTTCTTAAATTTTTTTCTAAAAAAAAATAGCCATGTATTCGAACCACGTATCTCCTAAAACATACGCCAGTGCCTTAACAAAGGACTGCCACGGTTATGACAACTGTTCGCCTTCGTTTTCCAGTGGCGACTCGTGGCTCAAATGTATGGTGGGGCTAATATGAGACAGTGATACATTCTTACGTTGTCTTATTACAATAATAATAATAATAATAATAATAATAATAATAATAATAAGTCGTAGGTAGTAGTGGTGCGAGTTGTAGTACAAACTCCTACTTTAAAACATGTGAAAACATTTTGCACTTAACAGTATTAGAAAATGTAAGCATACTCCATTGCAATTCATGCCATTAATTAAAATAATGCTTTAAAAGTTACCTCATTTATAGAGGAACTGCGCTCGTCTATTCTTCTGGGAAGCAAACAAATGAATCACTTTTTGGTTGAATGCCGGGATCTCTGTAATTATGTCCTTATGAATGCTAAGTACGGCCAGTGCCTTCAGAAGTTCTTGACCCATTGAGTTCCTTAGATATGTCTTAACTCTTTTTAGAGCGCTGAAACGCTCGGATTCGGCGGTTGATATTGGAGTTGTAAGTACAATATCTGTCAGTTTGCGTATTTCTGACAGAGCGGCTTCCCGATTGTTCTCTTATTAATGTCCAAAGTGGATGAAATGTATCTCTTATCTTTACCTGGACTCCGCTGTTCCCGCCACAAATCGCGGGATCGCCATCATAGGATTGGGCAATTAGTTTTTGTTCAAGGTTGTATGGTTCTAATTCTTGTTTAAGTGCTGATGCTAAACCTTTCGAAGTTCGATCCAGAATGTGACCAAAGGAAATGAATCTCTCAACAGGACCACTGCTATTGACATACCGTAGCAGAATAACTAATTGGGACATGCATGACACGTTAGAGGTTTCATCTGCCTGGACAGCTACATATTTTGAATTTTGAATTTCTTGTTTGACCGTTTCCTTGTATACCGCATATATACAGCCCAGTAATTCGTTTTGAATTGTTTCCGACGTGTTTTCTGACATAGTTTCACTATTTAAGTTTTCATTTAGAATACTATCTAAAGCCGCTAGTTCCGACATGAGAACCAAAAATATCCCGCAATTGTAAGAACTCTGGCGCTCTTCATGTCTCCGAAGAGGACGTTCATGCGTTCCACAAAACTTTATACAATTAATTACCCTATTTAATATGTGTCTGTTTTTATCCACAAGTTCATTGTGACGCTGAATAGAAACCCTATAGCTATCATTTAACTGGGTGAAAATATTGACAGAACCAAAGAGATTAACTTTTACATCATTTTCAATATGCCTTTGCGACGCTTCGTGTTTTCTAACTCTTTCTGACAAATGTTTAAGGTCAGTTATACCTGTCAGAGTTGAACTCGTTTCCCCACCAAACAATAAACACAAAACAAAAAAATTGATTTCTTTTCTTCACTTATAGTCAGCCATTTCTTCTTGTGAAACCAAGATAACGAAAACGTTCTTTTCTGAGTCTTGCAGTTCTGATCAAGTTTGAAATCTGTTGGTTGATGCGCCCCAAGAGATTTACTTGTAATTTCTCTTCTAAACTCAAAGTTGAGAACGGTGATTTCAGAAGGGCGTCCACCCTATTCATATTAATCACTAATTCTAATACGAATACAATATTAACCTAAAACCTAATTTGGAAATTACACTTGAAAAACAACTTTAATTTAGGCCCACGCTAAAATTACTTTATTCCTGAACTTGTATCTTCTCCACTGCCCAAAACACAACTGAAAGATGGAATCCGAATGGTGGCTGAAAACTTACCCTCTCTGTTCTTACAAAGAACGTATTACTTAAGGCTGGAAGAATAGAGGTAAGTTCACAATAACATCCACACTCCGCCCGTCGCTTTCAGCCTTGTGTATAGTGTTCTTTTCTATTGCGGGCTTGTCAAAACTAGCCCCAAGCGTGACACTTCAAGACGCATGCGATACTCAAGAGTCCCTGAAACGTTCACCGAATTTAAGGCTGATAACGGTACACACAGTAAGGGCAAGAGACCAACTAGCCCCTGCGCTATTGTAACCGTACAAATAAGCTGTGATATGGCCAAGACATCACTATTGCATTTCCGGCCTCCTTAATTACATCATGATAACGAGAAATATTAATATTTTGATACAAATTTGATCTCTATAAACAGAATAAAATATGAATGAATATGAAAATTCAATACTACAACAAAATCAGGTGCGGCTTGTCCCCTAATGACGCACCACCCCTGCTGACCACTAACCAACATCCAGTGCCGAGGTTAAGGATGCGTATTCCTCCGCCTTCACCCCCCCCCCCCCCTCCCTCNCCCCCCGTCTTCCTGGCGCAGGACTTTATCTTAACCACGATACTGCTGACTGAAAACCTATGCACTCTTAACCTCTGGCGTGAAACATTGATAATAACGAGAGATTCCTGACCGTGTGTGTTTGGATGTGATTACGGTCAGCATCGGGGTCCCAAAGGAGAAGCATACGCAATCAGATTCGTGCTTGAAGTGAGGTTTCTTGTGGAGAACACGTGGCAACTGAAATGTGAGGCACTCACCCATGTGTGAAAGGTCAATGATGGGGACCTCCGCCCTGGAGAGCAACGTATCGACGCTTGCGTGCTGATCCATTCTGACAACCTCGCCTGCACTCCACACCAAACGCTTCGCACTTCTCCCGTCAACTGCTTCCTGCCAACATATCGTCAACGTAACTCCTTTCTAGCCACAAGTTGGCCTTGCCGCGATCCCAGTGCTACCATCAGAGCTCGTCCAGGATTGCCAACAGTAACTTTGTTTTCGTACCTCTTGCAGGCGAGGGCCGGGATGGCGCAGTCGGTATATAGACTGCCTACAGGCTGGACGGTTTAGGAATCGGGGTTCGAGTCCCGACAGGGCCAAGAACTTTCTCTTCCCCACGTCGTTCAGACCGGCTTTGGGACCCACCCAGTATGTGCCTGAGGCTCTTTCCCCGGGGGTAAAGTTGCCGAGGCATGAAGCTGACCACTCACCTCCAACTAATGCCGAGGTCAAGAAAACGTGGATCTATACATCATCTCCTCCATACACCTTCATGGCGTAGTGCTTAACTAGTCCAGCACAGTGAAAAACTTTACCGTTTTTACTTTTACTTCTTACAGGCGACTTACATCTTGTCAAATATGTAACACGTGGATTTCGTAGTTTAGGTTTCCGAAGTATTCGGCGTTATTTTGCTATTGAAGGTGGATGAAATAGGCAGAGCATGTAGCACGAATGGGAGAGGCGTACATACTGAATTTCGGTCGGAAAACCTGAAGGTAGGACACCCCTAGGAAGAGCTAGATGCACTTGACAGTGTAATATTAAAATGAATCCCAAATAATTCGGATGTAAGGGTGTGGACTAGGATTGTGACCATTGAGTACGGTACAAAACTTTGGGTGCCATAAAATATTGTAACTGGTCAACTTTCAACTCCTCGTGAAGGCCTCAGCGTCACTGACGTACTTCGATTCGTTATTTACGCATATTGGCCAGGATATGAAGGCAGATGAGTTGAGGGGAGTGAACACGCATGCGCTATGGGAGAAATACGTACGTTTCACATAATTGTGCAGGCCAGGACACAGAAGAAAGGAAGAGGGAGAGCAGACGCAGTGTAGAAGATGGCGGTGAGGTTAAGTAAAGCTATCCATGTAACAGGCCGCGGAGGCTCATAGGGTTGTGAGACGTCGAGGCTCCCACATTTTCTACACAATCGGCTCACAGATGGCGGGGAGGTTAAGTAAAGCTATCCATGTAACAGGCCGCGGAGGCCCATAAGGTTGCGAGACGTCGAGGTTCCCACATTTTCTAGACAATCGGCTCACGGATGGCGGTGAGGTTCTCAGCCTTACGCTCCGGTCAGCCGTCCCTTACGCCCCAGGAAGATTCCTGGTACACATTTCTGTTAGAGGGTGAGTTGACCCCAGGGCCATAATGCGGCTGGAAGGATTAGGTCAATTGACAAATCCAATGACCTCATCGGGAATGTAACCGGCGACCTTGCTGCTTATAGCATAGTGCCTCAACCAAGTACGCTACCGAAAGCACCTGCCCGTATACTAAATCTTGCTGACTTTCCGAAACTGTGCGTGTATACAATTAAGCCTATGTACCACTTAATAACTCGCCTCTGCCAGCCGAGGTAGCCGCTACCTGAAGGTTGTTAAACAACACGAAAGGAAAGTCGCTAAAAGGAAAGTAGGCTAAGCATTAACAGGTGTAAGTGTCACTAGTTGCACGCGACGCAGTGCGCAAGGCGTTTGTTTCCCTCCTCTTGCCTGTAGAAGAAGCGTCCCACTGACAATGTTTGCTCTTGTCTGGACGCTCCTTACAAACGTGCAGACATGAAGGCCGTCCTTAATTGCACGAGGACATGGACAGAGCCACTTGCATCACTGCCATCCCCCACCCGTGCCAGAAGGAACGAGCAGGCGCAGGTAGCACAGTTGAGCCCAGAATGAGCGAACTGCAAAAAGGTTCGGAAACTCTATTTCGGTTTATTTTTTGTTCCCGAAAGGGTTTGTGGGTGTCTGAGAATTTGAAAATATTCATAATAATTTCTTAATTATTGGTTGATCATAACAAAGGACCTTGTGAATTTAGACAAAGCTATCCATGTAACAGGCCGTGGAGGTCCCTACGGTTGTGAGACGTCGAGGCTCCCACATTTTCTAGACAATCGGCTCACAGATGGTGGTGAGGTTGTCTGCCTTACTCGTCGGCCGGCCGCCCTTTACCCCCAGAAAAATTCCTGGTACTCATTTCTGTTAGGGGCTGAGTCAACCCCAGGGCCATAGTGCGGCTGGAAGGATTAGGTCAGTTGTAAACTCGAGTGGCCTCACCGGGAATCGAACGGACAACCTTCCGGCTTGTAGCATAGTGCCTCAACCAACTACGCTACCGCGTGCCCCCCGTCCAATGCCGAGGAATTTTAAATCTCGGATGAACTGAAGACTGTCGCGCAGTTCTTGTCACGGCGCTGTCACTTAAGTTGATGCATAGAGCGATGAATAGGTGCATGACAAAGAATTGCAAAGGATGTGAAATGAAGCGGTTGTGGCCTACTTTAACGCACTATCCCGGCATTCGCTTGGAGGGACTGTGGAAAACAGAGATAAATTTCCGTCAGGGTAGTCTGTTTCTCGGCTCAGGTTAGAATCGGCCACCTCCCAAGCACAGGTCTCGCTCGAAGTCTGTGTGTTTGCACTCAGAGGTGTGTCATTTTCGAAAGCTGTATGCCCTTGTGTAAACTGAAAGAGATGAATCCGCAACTGAACAAGGTTAAAGTCTGTATACACATGTATTCATCCGCGCATGGACACAGCCCTAATTGTTAGACTGAAAACAGATCTGGTAGGTAGAATTTTGCTGTAAATGTTTTTTCGTCTCTTTAAAAACAGTGGACAATTACACGAAGTAAAAACAACGGGATGTAAAGCGAAGCTTCCTAGGGATCCTAGAAACATTGCAATTCTACAATCAGGAATGCAGTGGGGATAACACAGACGATCACGGAAGAGTTCCGTCTTCCGCGATATAATGCCGTGTAATCCTCTGAGGGTCAACCAACGTTTCGAGGTAACATGTCACCTATATATTCAGGGTCAAATATAAGCCAATAAAATATCCAGAAAGAAGCAGGTAACAAGCAACTGTTATATAAAGCAGTGTTTATTAAATGTGACATGAAATTATATTGTAAGCAATCGGTATATTGTGACAACGTAAGGCGCAAAGCTACTTGTAATGTAAACAAGATATAAGAATTTGTGACTGTACTATATTAGCACAATGTTTTACTTTTTGAACAGTATCTGCCGTCCTGTTTTTTATTCAAATACGATGTTTCAAAAACTGGATTCTGTCTCTGTCCTCAGATAAATCCTACTCAGTTGGGCCAAATCGATAGAGGTAGTCACTATCTCCAAAGACTTGACACTGACTCCGTCCTCAGGTAAAATCCTACTCAGTTGGGCCTAATTTATAGTACTAGTCCCTATCTCCAGAGATAGGGCTACTTAGTTGGGCCAAATCGATAGAACTAGTTGCTATCCCCCGACGGTTTTTGTAAGTTTCTCGTAGAAAACACCGATAATTTCTTTATACAGTACTGTGCTAGGTAAACACCTCGAAACAAACGAGTACAGTTGTTGCTAAGCAATAAGCGAAAAAACAAACTGCCATTTATGAGCAAAGGCTCAGTAAACACGTTCCCGCGGAAACGAACACACACGCAACGATAGAATAATGATGTTTTCGATGTGGTCCGCGACGAGGAGTTATAAAGAAGACAATTTGGGCAATCGAGTTCAGTTGAGAGATGTCAGTTAAGTCGATCTCTGCAAGGGATGCTGATAAGAGATGGTGTTATAGTTGAATTCACAGTCGACAAAGAGTTCTGCACGGGCGGCTGTAATAACGAGGACCTGAGCGCGGGAAGCTGAAGAATCTTCATTGTTAGAAGCCGTTGCTAGGGAACGGCTGGTGAAGACAGCATGTTGGAAAAGGCTTAGCGAGTGCCGCTGTGACTTATAAAGTGTGGAGATTAGCTATAGCGCTGTAATTACTTCCAGTTCCGAGTGGTGTGTATAAGTGTTCAATAAATCTATTCGCCATTCAATAGTCGCGCCCCTAAACATATGACAGTAATATGCGATTGGGCTTTGTAAGGGAGACGCTGTTACGAACTGAATTTTTAGAAAATTTTCAGATGAACTTCATTCTTGAGAGAGTTAAATGTATTACTCTTAGCTAAAAAAAAATCGTATTTATACAAAATCCTGGGTTGGACTAACAGAGCCCTTCTTTAAAACTGTATGATTTCCCTGAGATGCATATTTCATGACGCGATGCATTGGTAGAATATAGATACTATCTGTATCACTCCTACAGATATTCACAGCGACTCGATCACTGCCCCTTGTGCTTAGTCTTGGTGCTGCTGAGCTCCTTCACGAGAGGGGCTCGTGATCAGGACCCGTCTGCACCTGTCGCCAATTGACATAAAGGGCTATTCACTCTCAGGAAGGTCAGAATTAATGATTATAAATTATGTAAAGTATAAGTAAATTTGGCCTTGTGCTTAACTAATTAAGCACTGCGCCTTGAAGGCGTATGGGGGAATGAAAATATAGCTCCACATTTTCTTGACCTCGGCACTAGTTGGGCGTGAGTGGTCAGCTTGATGCCGGGGCTTCTTTGCCCCCGGGGAAAGAGCCCCCGGTATCCATTGGATAGGAGGCTGGGTGGGTTCCAGGGACTGTCTGGACGACTTATAGAAGAGAAAATTCTTGACCCTATCGGGACGCGAACTCCGTCCCTTCGGTCGTCTAGCACGTATCCATTCTCTATACCGACTCCGCTATTCCAGTTCCCCCTAAAGCTATCCCTGTAACAGGCCGTTGAAGCCCATAGAATTGTGAGACGTCGAGGATCCCACACTATCTGGACAATCGGCTCACAGATGGCGGTAATGTTGTCAGCCTTACGCACCGGCCACCATTTACCCTCCAGGGAGATTCCTGGTGCTCATTACTGTTAGACGCTGAGTCGATCCCAGAACCTCTCGCGTACAGGGGATGATAACAGGACGTCCTTTCCTTCTTAATTTATTCTTATCATAATGGCTGCCTAATGAGGAGCTTCATAACTTGTACTCTTCACCAGATGTACTTAGAATGACCAAGTCAAGGAGGATG